AACATTTATCCCGAAACACCGACAGTTGTAGTACTTCTTGAAGTAGGACGGTGAATGGTGCTAATTTTTTTTAGCACATGGTTATTGTTTAAAAAAAATGAGTATATTTTGGCGACATGATTGGGCTAATAATGTTGGCGGAGGTAATTTTCTGTTGACTTGGATTTCTAGGAAGTGAATGCATACATATTTTTTGCTTTTCCCAACATGTATTTCTGCTCCTTCCAAAAGGAAATGCATTACGTGGTTTATGTTTAAGATTAGGAAGGTGATCCAATATTACTTGCATTACGTTTTTTTGTTTGTTCAGGATTAGGATGGTGGTCCAATTTCAATTACTTGCATTGTGTTATTTATATTTGTTTGAAATTAGATGGTGGTTCAATCTCTTTTGCATTAAAGTTTGAAGCACAAGAAAGTAAGAAGAGAGAATTGAAAGAAAGAAATTTTAATAAAATTGAGAGATGTGTTTAGAGAGTTATATATAGTAATTTTTATATATATTTTAGGGTAGATAATATAAAAAAATAAATTATTATATTAAAATACTTAAATAGAATCTACTCCATTATTAATGTAATTAAATATATTATTTAATTAATCAATCACATATAATTGAATCTTCCTAAGTCCTTAACTCAAAGCAAAGTAGATTGAAAGTGGGAGTAATTAAAGGAAGAAATCAACCAGAAAGCATTACCTGACAAACTGGTTCCAGGTTTCACTTTTCATAACGCCTGATGGATCTAGTAATTGAATCATCTCAATCTCATGGCTCAACTTGAAGTGTGCGGTCTCAAACCGCATATTTCCAGCAGGCGAAATTTCAAAGATGAAAACCAAAATCAATGGGAACAAGCGTCCCCGCGCTGCATTAAGATGCATATACAGTTACTGCATTTTCTACAATTTCACTTATCCTACTGTTAAACGTATAAAGAAAAAATAAATAAAAGACTGCTGATAAGAAATTCAGGCCCTGACATCACTTAAACTATTGTGCTCTCATCATAAAAAGGCATATGATAACGAACATTTTGGTTTTTGGAAAATGACAAAACTTTGATCTTAATGGACGCAGATTTCCATGCTAAATACCAATTGCAGTATAATACTAAATATGCAGAGTACTAAATAGTAGATATATACAATATGAATTTTTGTACATTAATTTACAACAAAAGGTTTGTATATATCCGCTGCAACTCTACTGTCCAAAGCATCAAACATAGAACACCCTTACACCCACTTAAGTTTGGAAGTGGGCAGAAAAACTGTAACTCCGCTACAAATTTCAGCTAATGATGGGTGCTCAATTGGTTACTATCTTCTTTTTAATTAATTAATGAACCAACCAATATCCTACAAACCAACATTAGGGGATAGACACTCACCAGCAAAGGAAAGGGGATTTTACTTCCCAAAAAAAAGTAGTTATTAGGTATGTATCACAGTCTTCATGTACTCAAGAAGACACTAAATCAGAGCAGAAAACGAAGACAAGATAATACAATTCTTGCAAGGTGATCAAAATAACAGAAATTCGAAAATCACCAGTAGTCACATTTTCAAGCTGAGACATCCAAAAGAGCTATAGACATATAAAGATACAACAGGCATACACCTACAAACCAACATTAGGGGAGAAACGCTCACCTCAATTATACCTTTCTCTGGGCCAGTTGCGACAACACCATAGGGAAATAAGTAGAGATTAAGTCTGACTGCTTCAAATATGTCTCTCACAAGTGCTATTACTCGAAGAGCAAGAACATCTTGTCGACAATCATCTCCAACCTTGAATAAAACAAAATTCAGTTACATTAGGGGAAAACATACCATAATTATGAAAAATGTAGCAATCAGTGCAGTCAGGGAATAATATATTTTACAACTGGAAACATGCAAAAGCACATAAATCCAAAATCTATAGGGAACCATACAGCATGAGAGCAATCTCATTAAAGAGTAGTACTAGCTCAACAGAAAAATTACATTAAATTGATTTTTTTTTTTTTTTTTGTTTGGATTATTTAATTTTCTTTGTACGAGGAATTATACATTGATGTACTCCATATCGCAATAATAGTTATTA